AGACCCTCTTTAGCCTCTCTTGGCACGGCTGTACTCGGCTCAGACCCCTGGAAGGGCTTCCCTTTACTCCAGGGAAGCGCCCCCTCGGCCCCCCCTCCGCCACGCAACGGAGCCCATTTCCCCCCCTCCGCCCCGGCCGGGTCCCGGGCGGCGGATGCTCACGGTTGAGACTTTCCCGGGAAGGTCGCCGCCGCCGCCGCCGCCGAGGTCGGGGCGCTTCTCCCGGGCGGCGGCGCTCCGAAGGGGACTCGGGGCAGCCGCTCACACCGCCGGCGGGGCATCTTGCCCGGCTTCCATCGGGACGTCCGCTCGCCGCCTGGCTCAGCCCGAAGTGAGCGGCGGCGGCTGCCCGGAGACTTTCTCGGCGCGGCGCCTTCTCCGGAGCCAGCCTCTCGGGGCGGGGAGCCGCTTAACCCGCTCGCTGCCGGCTCTCCTCCCGCGGCCGGTTCCCCCCGGAGAGGCGGAGGGGCTCCCGGTTGGGGGAGAGGCCGTTCAGCCAGAGGCGAAAGGCCCGCTTGGGCTGGCAGCGGAGGCGGAGCTGGAGGGGGATCCGGGCGAGTTCGGGGGACCCTCCTCGCAGCTCCTCCGCGTCCCGACGGTCTTGGGAACCCGGCAAAGCTCATCTCCCTCCCAGCTCAGTCCCGCCAGCGACCCACTGCGGATGGGGCGGAGGGCGCCAAAACTGCCCTCCGAGCATCAGGAAGAGCGCCCCCCCCCCCCCCCCCCCGATTTGCCTTTTTGGCCCAAGGGATTCGGGCAAGAAGAGCCCCCCCACCTGGGAGCCCCCTCCCAAAGAACAAAGGGAGCCTCCTGCCTCCCAGTTGGCTTTCTGGCCCTGGAGCTGAGGGGCCCTGGGGGGCTGTGGCCCCATCTCGTGCTGGAAAGCAGCTGCTTCTCTGGGAAGCCATTCAAGGGCTCCCTTGCTTGTGCTTGGGGGGTTCCTGGCTAATGAGCAAGCCCACCGAGAGACCTGCTGTCCGGTGAGCCTGTGGGGGCTTCTCCCCCCCCACACCTGTAGGAGCCACCAAACCAGAGTGCTGAGGCTGCCAAGAGATGCACGACTGCCAAGGCCTGGAGGGTCAGCCGGCGCTTTGCAGGAAGGGGCGTCCTGCTGCCTGCAGACCCTTGGACGGCTTAGCCCCACCACCCCACCCGCAGAGGGCGGGAAGGCCTCTTTCCTTGAGGAGCCAGTTCCTGCCTCGTCTGCCTCCTCCCTTCCTTTCCAGCGTCCTGCCCTAGTTCCCACCTCTCTCCCTTTGATGGAGACCCTCCCCCCTTAGCTCCCGAACCCCCAAGAGACTCACGGCCCCCCGTGTTGCAGTCCTGAAAAAGCCCCCCCCCCTCAACTCACAGGAGGCAGAGAAGCAAGGTCCGGAAAGGCAAAGGGGCCAGGTGGCGAAGCGGCAGGTAATCTGTAATATTTTAATAGCAGAGCGGCCTGGAAGACTTACCTGCGCCTATTTAAAGATGCTGAATGATTCAGCCTGCTAAGCCCTGGAAGGGCGGCGGAATGAAAATCCCAGGAGAGATCAACCAGACAAGCACACCTTTCTCCTGCCTTTTACACACACACACACACACACACAGAGCTGCATTTAAATCCCAGACTTCATTTGCATTCCAGAGTTTGGCTTCCCATCTCCATATAAAGGAAGACCTCCTGCCACCCCCAGTTTAAGAGCCCCTCGAGGCCTGTCAAGGTGAGGAGAGTTTCAGCCCAGGTTTCCTTACCCTGCACCTGAGGGGCTGTCTTGCCACCAAGGACTTGGGGTTCCTTTAGCCACAGCTTGCAGGCAGATCCGAAGTTTTTCACTTGCACAATCCACCAAACCGGAAGCAGCCACAGAGCTGGAGCCCTACAACAGGCAAGGTCCACCCGAGATGGTCTGCTGAGCTTTGGGCTGCAGGCAGCGGCCTTTGACCTCGGCTGGGTCCGGGGGGAATCCTGAGGCTTTCCTGGCAGGTCCTCCCAGGTGCTGCCACTTGCAAAAGGAGCTGAATGAGGGGAGACTCCCAGGAGGGAGACCAGTCCCAGTTTCCTTCTGGAGTTGGCCAATAAAGCCCTTCAACCAGGTTAGGAACACTTGCAATGAGCCCCTCGGGTGGGAGTACACCTGAGGCCCGAGTCTGCTTGGGGTGCAGTCGCAGGAGGTCTTCCTCTGCTGGAGGCCGGCGGATTGTTCAAGGACTCCGTGCAGCGGAACAGCCGGAGCTCAGCCGACCCCCTGGAGGGATTCTTCTCGAGACGGTTGAGGCTCTTCCTTGGAGGAGTGAGGAGCTCTGAGCATACTCAGAGAGCGGCTACAAGACCCTCCCATCGGCTGGGGCCAAAGGCACGCGTCCCACCCCAAACCCTTCCCGGCATGGCTCTGCTCCAGCCAAGGATCGTCCTGGCAGCCGACGACGACGCTAAACCAGGATTTGGGGCCGACCTTTGTTTTCCTTCCTTCAGGAGCGGAGCCAGCTCAGCCCAGAGGCTGCCTTGCTCAGCAGCTGCTCATGAATAAGTCAGAGGAAAGCAGGCAGGCAGAGAGCAGGGTGGCCTGCAAGGGTCCCTGAGGAACCGGGGAGCGGGTTTGGCACCTTCAACCACAGCAAAGGAAGCGGGGGGGGGGGGGGGGGGGGGGGGGGGGGGGGCAGTGGGGCCCTCTGCCCAGAAAGCCCCCAGCAGATAGGAAGCCTAAATGGGGGGGGTCCAAGCAGCCAGGGCCTCCCTTCCCCGGAATGAAGGCGAAGGCTTTGGGGTGGACGAGTGGGAGAGCCGGCCTCTTTGGGGATGAAGTCCCACAGGTGGGGGCCTCCGTCCCTGCGGCCCTTTGCCCACCCTTGTTGGAGGGCCCCCAGGCTAGTCAAAGGTGTGTGTGGGGCGGTCTTGGCTGAGCCGCTCTGGCCTCCTAAAGCACATCATGGCCTCTTCCGTCCTTGAGCACCAAAGCAGCCCTGGAGACTTCAGGCCGGGACCCTTTGAGAGCTTTCTGATTTGGGGCTGGGGGTGCAGGGGCCGATCAATCACAAGCCCCTCCGGTCCATGATCCCATAGTGAAGCTCCTTCGGGGCGGGAAGTGCCAGCCTGCTTGCCTCACAAATGCCCCCCTTGCAGGAAATGCAGATCCTTCCCCCCACCTCCCCAAAAATCTGATTTTCAAGGACGGGATACCCAAAGGTGCTTTTTCCAAAAGGCAACTGGACTTTTCTTGTTTTTTTTCTTTGAAAACGTTTTGCCTTTCATCCAAGAAGCTTCTTCTCTGCCATTAAGTGGGTCTTCAGAACTGAAGAAGCTTCTGGGAGGAGAAGCGAAACGTTTTCCAGGAAAAAAGAGTCAAGAAAGTCCAGTTGCACCTTTGTGTGGGGCAGCCCAGACCTGGAGGGTTGAGAATCTCCATAGACCCAGGGGAGAGAATTGAGCCAGTTACTGGTGGTGGAATCTGGTCTCCCATCGTCAACCCGCTCCAGCTCTGGGGTTTCAACCCTGACATCCGGTGGAACTGCCATGCTGCTGGGCAAGGCTGCCCAGGGATGGTGGGACCTGTAGTTCAGGAGGCTGGAAGCCAGGGAAAGACAGACCTGGGTTAAGGGCAGGTTGGCACATTTCTGGCCGGAAACAGTTCTGCAAGATCTCGGTCAGAGGGGAGGTATTTTTTTTCTTCTGTCACTTGAAATCTTCACCCAGGAGTTGGTGGAAACACCAGAGCCGCAGTGCAGGTCTTCTGCTGAGCTTCGGCCCCAGTAAAGTTGTATGCAACTCTGCCAAGGGCCCCCATAAACCCCCAGGGGCCCCTGGCTCAGGGGGGTGTCAATGAGCTTCCAAGCAAAGCCAAGATAAGCCTGCAGCCCCACCTCTGCCTTAAGGAGTAACTCCACCTGCCTGCTTTGCTCTGAAGAAGCCCAGGATGAGCTGGAGAGGAAGCCACGCCACCTTTTGGGTCCAGGTAAAGAGGAAACAAGGTGTGGGCTTTTTTCCTTGTGAGGTGATTCTAGGAAAGTTGAAAGGTCAGCAGGGAGGAATGCCGAAAGGACAAATCTGGTTTTGTCTTATTGCGGTGTTTTTCCATCTCAGCAACTTTTAAGACGTGTGGACTTCAAATCCCAGAGTTCCCCAGCCAGCTTTGCTTTGCTGGCAAGGGAATTCTGGGAGTTGAAGTTGCCAAGGTTGGAGACTCCTGCTCAAGAGCCTTGCAACCAAAGCTGAGCCTGGAATTCTGTTTAAAAGCAGTTTCTTCTCCAGTTTTTGACTTCCTTCCAGACACGCTGCCCTTTAACAGCCGGTCCTTCCTCTGCGCAATTGCATTACCAGGAGGGGAGCCAAAGACGAATTTGCTCTACTTTACTTATTTTGAATGGCGATTAAATCGGTCAGCTGGTCCTCCGTCACAGTTGCTTGAGAAAACACAACGCCAGCGGCCACCTGGGAGGGGCAGCAACCCGTTTGCCAGGACAAAGTTTTCAAAACTTTCTCCCCCCCCCCCCCCCCACCCACCCCCCACCGCCCCCCAACCCCCGAAGGCCCCTCCCGGGGTGCCAGTTATGGGCCTGGGTAATTCTAGGTTACCGCTGGACACCCCCCCCCCCGCCAAAGAGCTGGAGGGGTTTCCAGCTCGCAGTTGGTTGGAAGGAACTGGATCCAGTGTTTGGGTGAGATCCAGTTCCCTGCAGATGATTTAGGCAGTGACCTTTGTCCCTCCTCCGAGAGAGTTTCTGCTTTTAATAAGAAACCCGCAGAAAGGACACCCCTGAGTGAGCAGGAGAGTCCTGGCGGTGGCACCAATTGCCAAAGGGAGGGAGGGCATGTGCCCCTGCCAGGCAGGCAGCTCCAGTGCGACACGCTGGTCTATGGGAGGAAGGGTGGACTCAGGGCCACGTTTTTCAGCTGCGAGATGTGCAGACTTCAACTCCCAGAACCCCCCCCCCCAGCACACTAACTGTGGAACGCTCCACCTCTCAGGCACTGGCACATTCATGCATCTCTAAAACCTTCCCCTTTGCTTTCTTTCCACCGGGAGCCTCTGAAATGCCTTCTTACCCATTTCAAACAATAGAATAATGGAAGGGACCTTGGAGGTCTTCTAGTCCACCCCAACCCCAACCCCACCCTCTTGGGCTCCAGCAAAGCAGAAGCACTGACCCCACCCAGGCAGCAACACGGAGCAGGGCACGTCATTGGCACAGGCTGCCCATCTGTTCCCGCTGCTCTCCAGGCCTGGCAGTGGGTGGGGAGCCGCATTCACAGAGCAGCCTGCCCAGATGTCGGATTGCAACCTTTGGCCAGGAGGAGCCCAGGTGAGCCTTTGTGTGCCTGTCGGCGCCGCCGGTGAAGCTTCCTTAAGGTTCAAAAGTTGCCCCTGGCAATGACATTTATGCCCCTGAGGCAATGTGTGTTCTTCTACCTCTCTTTATTGGATTGTGTTCTTATTAAACAATTCCTAGTCCCCCCACCCAGTACTTTTTCTTTGGAAAATACAGAAGACAGTCATGCTGTGGTCACTCCAAGTCCCCCCTCCCCGCCCCACAACAGGTGTGGCCCCTGCAAGCCCCCCCCCCAGCCACATGGCCCAATGCCAAAGACCCTCGAAGACCCTGGGCTGAAACTGTGACTCTGCTGACCCGCCAGCTCAGCTTTCCCCACAGCCCTGAATGCTCTCGACTTCTCTGGACAGGCAAGGTGACCCCCCCCCCAGCCTCCTCCCCTGCCCAAGGGGAGGGAAGGGTCTCCGGTCCCCCTTCGGGATCAGGAGCAGATCAACTCCTGGCTGCTGCCCCACTTCGCCTCCCAGGGGATCCCGTGACCATCAGAATGATGAGCCAGCTGCCAAGCGCCTGAATTTGGATCCCGTGACCACGGGGACGTGGCAATGGTCGTACGTGTGAAAACTCGCCATAAGTCCCTTTTTTCCAGTGCCGTTGTAACTTTGAATAGTCACTAAACGAAATGTTGTAAGTTGAGGACCACGCATATGTTCCCTTGGATTGGGCAAGCCGGGGTGGCCTGGCCAAGGGGGGAGGGGACTGGGCAGGCAGCCTGGAGGAAGGAAAGGGGAGTGGAGTGCCCGGAGGGGCTCCTTGCCTGACCAAGATCAGACCCCGCCAAGAGCACCCAGGGCACTCGCCTGTGTGTGTGTGTGTGTGTGGGCGTGCGTGCGTGCGTATTCACAATGCTGCCATCGCAAAAAGAGTGAATTAAGTCGTCTGAGGCCGCAAGAGGAGTCGAGGCTGGGCCTTGCTCTCTCTGCTCCTGCCCGGATTGCTGCCCCCTCCCCCTCCCCAGGGCAGATGAACTTGGCTGGGGGCAAAGCTAGTCCCAGGACAGGGTCCCCAACCTTTGTGGACTTCAACTCCCAGAATTCCTCAGCTAGCTCTGCAGGAATTCTGGGGGTTGAAGTCCACAACGGTTGGAGAGTCCTGTGCCAGAAAACACCTCAGGGCTTCTACCTGGCCTGGGATCTTCCCCTCTCGTTTTCCCCTGGGAGGAAGCCAGGCGGGGGGGGGGGGGCAGAGGGGCTTCTGCCCACCCTCTGAGGGCCGGATTCTGACCGGGCGGCTGGGAGGCAGAGGAGGGAGTCAACTGCGCCAGGCCCAAAGGGGAGCAAGCCCAGGGTCCTGCCCCCCCCCATCTCCCCTCTCAGGGAAGGTGTGCAAGGGCAGCCTCGGGGGGGGGCAGGAACCGGCCTCCCCGCTGAGACCCTCAGGATGGCGGCCACCCCTTTCCCGCAGATTGCAGGGGAAACGAACCGAATTCCAACAAGGAGCCCAGTTGGCTTACATTCATAGTGCAAACGTGCCCCAAAGCACCCGAGGAGTCGGAAAGAACCCGGAGGGCTCCAGCTCTCCCTGCCGGGGGGCTCTTGAACCCGAGGCCAAGAGAGCGGTTCGTGCCCCTCTCCCCCCCGCCCTTCCTCAACTCCCTCACATTCTCAGCCTGTGCAACCTTCTGCCTTTAAATATAGATATATATAGAGATCGATCTAGATATATATTATCGCTATTCATATAGGGATTATTTCTGTAAATATAGCTGCCCACAATCTCTTCAAGGGCCTCTTTCCGTCTCAGCCACCAGCCCCCCCTCCCCTCCCCCTGAGTATTAAACCCCCCCCCAAAGCGTTTAACAGGATGCAACCCCCCCACCCCTCCCCTCCCCCACCTATGCACCCCCCAGCCCCACCACCGCTGGCCGCCTCCCCCCTCCCTCCCTCCCTACATGAGGCGCCACTGGAGGACACTGGTGTCCACCCCACCGGTGGAAAGCAGCAGGCTGTCATCGTGGAGGAAGGCGATGTTGGTGACGTGGCTGCTGTGGCCGCTGTAAGTGTGGCTGGGGGCCTGGGGAAAGAGAAGGGGGGGGTCAGAGGGGAAGGGCCTAGAGCCTTGTGCCACCCCCCCCCTCCCCCGGGGCTGATGTCCTGACAGCCCAGCCTGGTCCCCAAAGTGCACAAACTCTGCCCTTCACTCCGGAGGGGCTTGGGGGGGCCTTACACACACACCCCCGCCCGCCCGCTGGCTGAGAAGGGTTTCAAATCCCAGCAAACCTCAGGCGCTTCTGTCCGACGCATCGGATGACAGCGATAGATTGATCAGATTTTTATCCTGCCTTTGTTATTTTTGCAGGTATCCTCTTTTCCCAACAACCACCCTGTGAGGTGGGTTGGGCTGAGAGAGAGGGACTGGCCCAAAGAGACCCAGCCTGCTTTAGGGCCTAAAGTGGGACCTGAACTCCCGGCCTCCTGGCGTTTGGCCCAAAGCCACCCTGATGGCTGTCACGTCTAAGGTGGGACTATAATTCACTCTCACCTGGTGACCAGCTCAAGGCCACCCAGCTGTCTTTCACGGCTAAGACAGAACTAGAACTCCTGGTTTCTAGGCCAGCACCTGCGGCACCTGAACCTCCACTCCCAACTGGGCCCTCCTCCCCCCCCCCCCCGCGGCCCCCCCGGCGGGCCCGGGGGGTTCCCCCGGGCCCGGGGCCCCCCCCCCCCCCCCAGCCCTTTCATGGCCTTATTCTTTGCGGAGAGGCACCGTTTCAGCCTCTGGGGGACCCTCTGCCCACACCTGGGGCACCAGGCAGCCAGGGGACTGTCCCAAGAGCGAGGAGGAGGAGGAGGAGGCCCCGGCAGAGGTCCGGGAGGGTCCTGCCGTAGCTGCTTACCCGTGGCTGGCAACAGGGGTAGGAGAACAAGTGCACTTTGCCAAAGTCATCAGCTGACGCCAAGAGCTTCCCCTCGTGGGAGCGGCACACCGCGTTGATGTCGGTGCCATCCGCCCCCTCTGGCCAGATCCCTTCGGGGGCAGGAGAAACGGTCAGCGAGAGGCCGAATTTCTGAGGTTCAAAGTCCCTCAAAGAACCGCCCCTCCCCCCCCTCAAAAGATGCTGGAGGCGAGAGGATCCCCGTGGGGTTAGGCCTGTGCAGCTCCCTGCTGGCCCAGGCGCAGACACCCTCCTGGCGCCCACACGCCTGCCCCACAGCACTCACCAAACACCCCGAAGCCCAGCACGCAGGTGGCGGTAGCCCACTCCTGGTTGCGCACAGCCTCGGCGCTGGTGATTTGCCGGCAGGTGGAGGGGTCCCCTGGGAAGGGGAGGAAGGCGGGTTCAGAGCGCTGCGTGGGCCCTAAGGCGGGCCTCTGTGTTGGCCGAGGGATTCTGGGAGTTGGAAGCCCACAAGTCCTGAAGTTGCCCATGGGGGAGACGCCGCCCAAAGGGACCACGGCACCTCCCAGGGGAAGGGAGCCCGAGAGACGCGAGCGGGTGGTGCCCAGAGTGGCCCTTCCAGAGGCTGGTGCCAGTCGGCTCAGGTGGGCAGGAAGAGGCCGCTAAGGGAGGGGCTCCGTGCCCTACCCGGCACGGGAGCCCCCCCCCCTTCCCTGAAGCCAACAAGGGCGGAAGGGAGAGCCCGGCTGGGCTGTCCTTGGGCTGGGCGTCCCTCCACCTCCCTTCCTCTGAGGTTGGGCCAGGGAAGAGCCAAAGGCCCCCCTCCTCTCCCAGCGGGTTCAAACTGAAGCGGGGGGGGCACCCCACCCCCAGGCAAGGACAGGGCAGTGGAGGCAGGTCCCTCTGTGAGGGCGACGGGCGGTTTCCACACTTGGCAGATGAACCAGGTGGAGTGAATGTTCAGCCCTCAGGATACTCACAGTACAGAATCTCATAATCCCCCGAATTGGTGACCAAGCAGCTGCTGTCAAGGGCCCAGTCCAGGTGGGTGATGAAGCTGGAGTGGCCCTGGGGCAAGGAGGACACCAGAGTCAGTCCTTAGAACATTCTCGCTCAGCGCCCTTCTTTTTTCTTCTTGGACTTTCAGGAGAACCTGGAACTCGCAGCTGCTTCGTGAGCCCCCCCGAGACTCCGCAGGAGAAGCTGGCAGTCCTGGGCCATCCAGCTGAGCCCCGGGCGCTCCGTTCAAACGAGCCCTAGCCCACCCTGGGGCCCCCCTGAAGACCCCACTCGGAAAGGCCTCCCTCCTCCACTCACTGAGCATCTGCCAACCCGGCCGTATTTCCTGCCACCCTCGGAAACCAGGTAGATGTAAACGAAGTTATCGTGGGACCCCAAAGCCAGGTACTTCCCGTCTGGAAAGCAGAAAAAAAGGGGGGCGGGGGGGGAGTCAGAGAGGGGGCAACGGGGCGGATAAAATGTATTTCATTCATTCATTCTCTACTTCCTATTTCTAAACCGCCCACCTCTCTCTCAAACCCCCCCGGGAGCATCGAGGGCTCAGACGCCAAGAAACGTGTCTCTTTGTGTCCTTTTTCCCGAAGGACGTGGAGGGCCCCGGACTGCCTGCCCTTCTGCAAAGCCCCACCTGGAGTTCTTGCAACCCCCGCCCCCGCTTTCCAACCTGGGGAAAAGCTGACCACGGAGACGGGCTCTCCTCCGTCCGTGTGAATGGCCACCAGATCCCGGGTCTCCGTGTCCAGCACTAGCCACCTGGTTGAAAGCAGAAGGGGGGAGATGTCACGGCAGGCCAGAACCCCCCCTGAGGACTGCTCAGTCCGCCTGCCCTCTGCATCCCCCCCCCCGTGTCGAGGCAGAGCAAGCGCACAAGGGCGGGGGGGGGGGGGGTGAGAACGGAGCAGAGAGGGAGAGAGGAGCAGGGCTGCCCCACGCCAGGAGCTCCAGCTTGGGGCCAGCAGCCGCGGGGGGTTCCTGGGACCCCTCCCCACTCCTCCTTTGGGCAGCCATTCAGGCCAGCCCACAGCCCCCTCCCAGAGGGGCAGCAGAGCCGTGCAGAAAGGGCCCCCCCGAGATCCTCCCACCCTCCTGCCCCCAGGGCCCCCTGGGTCCATTACCTGCCCGTGACCGTGCCCACCACCAGGACGGAGCCGCTGGGGTGGAAGCCAGCCGAGCGAGCCGCATCCTGGAAGGGAGGAAAGCATTCAGGCCATTCGAAGCCTGGGGGGGGGTCTTCCCTGCCCCAGCAGCCCCCCTGCAGCAGGAGACCCGGGCTCACCTCAACCCCCTTGCTCCACAGCGGCTGGTGGGAGGCCACGCTCCACAGGTGCACCTGCTTGTCCTGCCCGCAGGTCAGGAACCGGTCCAGGGAGGGGTGGGTGGCCAGGCCCCAAAGCTCTTCCGTGTGTCCCTGGCGGGAGAGAGAGGGGGGGGGTCAGCCGGCCCGGACCCCGGGGGCCTGGCCCTCCCCCGGGGGGGCCGCCCCCCGGGGCCCCCCCCCCCCCCCCCCCCGCACAGGCCGGTACCTGCACCAGCAGGGAGAAGCCGGTCAGCAGGGAGCCCTGCAGCACCGAGTTGCGTGTGGTGCCCACAAAGAGCGAGTCGCCCTTCCCTTCCGCAATGGTGCGCACCGGCCCGAAGCCCTCCGGGACCTGCAGGGAATAGCAGAGGTCTTCTAGTCCAACCCCCTGATCCCTCAGGACTTCTAGCATCAGTCCTATTCCTCGGAACACCCAGAGGGACAGACAGGTGGAAACAGCCCCTCAGCGAGTCCTGGAGAAGCCCGGAGCGTGTTAACCACCCCCAGCCCCCCCCCCCCCCGACCTCTCTTGGCTTGGAAAGATGCCCCCGCGGAGAGCGAGCGCTTTCCCCTCTTCCCGGAGACCCCAAGCCGAGACCCCCTCTGGCCCTTTGGCCCCGGTTCTCACCTCGTTCTCCTGCAGCTTCTGGTAATCCCGTCCCCAAAGCACCACCCGCCGATCTCGGCCGCCCCCTGTGAGGATGGTCCCATTCCGCAGCACACAGAGGCCGAAGATGCCCCCCTCATGGGCGCCTGGCACCGCATGGCAGATCCGGTTCCCCCCTGCCAGTGAAGGGCATCAGTGGAACACAGCAGCTGGCATTTAGGCAGAGCCCCTCCCCAAGCCCCAGGGGTGGGTCTCTGCCTCCTGCCCCACAAGCGGGGAGGGGGGGGGCTCTTGGTCTCATAGCAGGGGTCCCCAACCTTGGGAGCTCTAAGACGCGTGGACTCCAACTCCCAGAATCCCCCCCCCGTCAAGCCCAGAAGTCTGGGAGTCCCCCGCCCCAAACCAATAGGGCTCATGGCTCAGCTCCCATCATCTTGGCCCTGGGAGACCATGAAGCCAGCAGCCCAGGTGGGCCTGCAGAAGCCAACAGGGATTTGATCAACAAACCCTGGTTTACGCCAAGCCCAGACCTTGCCTGGCCAGGGGCGTCCAGGTAGCCTTTGGGGAGGAAGGAAGACCAACCGACCTTTGCCCCAGATGTAGAGGTTGCCCCCCGAGTCTCCGGTCACCGTGTCCCCGTTCTCCGTAAAGGCCACGCAGAGAACGTACTTGGGCTTCTCATGTTTCTGCGGGGAAAATGAAGGCCTCAGAGCCACCACCCCCCCGGATATCTGCCCCAGGCCTTGGGGGGGGGGGGGTGGATGCTTGGCTGCAGAAAAGCCTCAGGATGCCTCGACTTGTGACGACCATGGAGCCCAAAGTTTCTGTGGCTAAGCCAGACGGTTGTTCAGTTAATTTTGCCTCATTTTATGACCTTGCTTGCCACCGTTGCTAAGTGAATCACTGCAGTTGTTAAGCTAGTGAGACGGTTGTTAAGTGAGCCGGGCTTCCCCGTTGGCTCTGCCTGTCCGTAGGTCACAAAAGGGGATCGCGTGACCCCCCCAGGGAATGTTGTCATAAGTAGGAGTCAGTTGCCAAGCGCCTGGATTTGGGTCACGTGACCACGGGAACGGCTCTGCAATGGTCGTTAAGTGTGAAAACAACCATAAGGCCCTTTTTTCAGGGCAGTTGTAACTTTGGACAGTTTACTAGGCGAACCGTTGTAAGTTGGGGACTTGCAGGTCATCCATTTGAAACAAAACGTGCGGAGCCTAAATCGCAGCGGCTTCTCCTCCTTCGGAGGGGAGGGAAACAGAAGAGAGGAGCCCCCCAAGGGGGCCGGGGCGGCTGACGGGGGCCTGCATTTCCCAGAGGTCTCTGCTCCCGCAGAACCTCTGACCTGCCCTTACGGAAGTTGGGAGGCTGCTGGTTTCAGGGCCGTGGTGGACGCAGGGAGGGGAGCCCCCCCAAGCTGCCCCTCCCCCCTCCCTCTCACCTCAAAGATGCCCTGCCGCTTGCTGAGGCTGCTGCCTTCCAGGGTCCAGAAGTGGAGGTGGGATTTCCCGCAGGTGATGAGGAGGGAGGGCTCCGTGGGGTGGAAGGTGGCGGCCAGGACGGATTCGTTGGAGCACTTGGGAGGGAGGGAGGGAGGGAGGGGAGAGCGTCAGACGTGAAACACGCATGCCGGATTTGGGTGCAAAGAAGCGAGGCGAGCAAGGCGGCTACCTTCACGTCGGCCAACTTCTGCTCCTTCTGCCAGTCCCAGACGGAGAGCACGTGGTCGTTGGAGTCGTCCACGGCGCACAGGAGGCCGCCTCCGTTCTGGGCAGAGGGGAGAGAGGGGCAGGTGGGCAGGGGCTCGGCCCGGGCAGGCTCCCTTGCGCTCAGTTGGGGGGGGGAGGGCTCTCCACACGTGGCAGCTTTGAGACTTGTAGACTTCAACTCCCAGGAGTCCCCCGACAGGCCTGCTGGCAGCCAAACACACCCCGGCTTGGCTGGCTGGGGAATTCTGGGCACTGAAGTCCTCCCACCTGAAAGGGGCTGAGGTTGCCCCCATCCAAGGGTGGGCCATGTTCTAATCTGGCTGCAACTTGGGGGTCCCCAGAAGGAGAGGGCGGCAGGAGGGAGCCTCACGCACAGATTTGGAGAATCCCACGCAGGTCACTGCTCGGTCAAAGGGTCCGGGCCCCAGGACGTGGAGGGTGTTGAGGCTCACGGAGTCCCAGATGCGCACTTGGGGCGGCAACACCTGTGGGAGACGCGGGGAGCACCTTGAGGCCCAGAGCATTTCTTCCGAGAAGGCAAACGCGGCTTGCGCAGCTCGTTGCCCATGGATGCCACGTTAGCCACAGGGGGAAAGGGAAGGCGAGTGGAACACGTCCCCAGAGAGCTCCACTGACTGCCACATCGAGAGCAAACCCTCGGGGGCTCAGGGCTCTGCAACCTGCAGGCTGAAACACCCTGAAACACTGGCGGGGGGTGGGGGGAGGGGGGGAGAGAATTGCTGGGCAATGCCCGCTTTTAAATGCTCCCAAGCAGCTGGTGCAACTGAGCAGCCAGCGTTTGCAGGTGGCATTAATGCAGCTCTAACTGGGGGCAGTTTTCTCCGGCCAACCTCTCTCTCTAACCGCAGCCCCCTCCCCAAACGGACACCCTTCCTGTAGGCCCCGTCCCTCACCTTGCCGTCCTTTGACGTCCCGGCCACCTGTCCGGTTGCCACAGTCACCATGTCTGGATGCACCGTCAGACTAAGGGAGGGAGCAAAAGGCCCAGGTTACAGGGGCGCAGGGCACCCCAAAGGGCAGCTAGGACTGCTCCTCCTACCACAGGTGTCCTGCCTCCCCAGCCCTTCCCGTGTCCTTCGCCAACTACCCTCTCCCCAAGGCGACCCCCAATTCTGGCAAGGGCCGGTGCCCTCCCCTAAACTGGCACGGCTTCTTTTCCTGCCCCTCCCTTCCTACCACTTGATATCGTCGGTGTGGCCCAGGTAGTGGCGCTGCCTCTGCTCCTCCACGTTGTAAAGGACAGCCACGGCAGCCACGAAGTAGACAATCTCTCCCGTGGGCAGCAGGAAAAGGTTGGACCGGCAGTCACGGCCCCGATACCCGTATCTGCGGCAGGGGGCCACGGGTCAAGGGGAAACACGGGGGGGGGGACTTTTGGGGCCCAGCCACCCTCCGCCCGGGGGACCCAGCCGTGAGCAGGATACACCCAGTCCAGCTTCAGCTTCTTGTGGGGCAGCTCCAGCTTGGTGTCCAGGCTGTAGGTGGCCACCACAGCATCAGGGACAAACATGGGGATGGGGCGTCCCCGGAGGAACATTTTCACGTAACCATCCTCTGCGGGGCAGAAGGGGAGGGAGGCAAGGCCAGGTAGGGCAGCTGGCTAGACCCTCGGCTGCTCACATACACACACACCCACCCCCGCCAAAGCCAGGTAAACTCCCAG